TAAATGGATTCCGCTCCACTGGAATTTATCCATTGAATAAGACTGTGTTCTCAGATGCAGATTTTATTGCAGCAGAAATTGAGAATATCAATCACAGCTATGTAGAACCGCAAGCTATTAACCTGCTATCCTACCAAAAAAACACTAGAAGCCAGCAAAATTAGTGAACCAGATTCTTCTGATTTGCAGAAGATTGTAAGTCGCCAAGCTTTTGTATCTGATATCCTACCAAAAACACCAAAAGCCAACAGCATTAGTGAACCAGGTTCTTCTGGTTTGCAGAAGTTTGTAAGTCCGCAAGCTATTGAACCTGCTATCCTACCAAAAACACCAGAAGCAAGCAACATCAGTGAACCAGCTCCTTCTGGTTTGCAGAAGTTTGTAAGTCCATTAGAAATATCGCCAGTGCCGTAGATCAGCAAAAAATCTACGAATCGTAGTAGCGATTCATCGAAATAAACGGTAATAACTTCTTCACCTTACAAGGAAGCATTAGACCCAGTGCCGGATTACGGGGGGCTATTGGACTCTTAGCCCCGGCGGTAAATTTTGAGAGGCGGTGCGTCGCTCCCATCACATTTTAATTCTATATGTGGTTATTTCAAATTTATGGGATTGATTTCTGAAATATCATGGTAATAATAATAAATTACGTAAGATGCCACAAATAAATAGCTTCAGAACAATATTAATAAAACTTCGTCTCGTCACTGATAAGATCCGTGCCTGCAGTAGCAGGTCGCACAAAAACCCGTTTCATGTTTCCGGGAAATCCACTGCGCCTGGCGACAGCGTGTCCGGCTCCAACACGGTATGTCGTCAATTGTTAGTCGTGTTAGCGCAGTTTTCGGGACTAGTCTCAAATTTTACTTATTTTTATTAGTGAAGTGTTTTCGTGATGTTTCTAAAAAATGAGCGGAAAGGAAGGAGGTGTATTTTGGAAGCGACAAAAGTTAGAAAAGCAACAAAAATTAAATGCAGTATTAAAAAAACCCCCAAGATTCAGCTTTTTTTACCAAATCCACGCAAGATAGTACACCAACAAGCACTTCTTTTCAAGACGATCCAATTGCAACAGTTTCAGATGTTTTAGAAGGTAGGTTTATTTGACTGTTTTAGTTACTTTTTTAATAAAATAAAATTTGCAGCAGGATCTTCATCACGTCGAGATGAATTATCCACAGCAAATTCAGACCCACTTTGTGATATCGAGTTACAAAATTCTGGCAAAGAAATTGTGTAGATGAAGTGCTGAAAGAATTCAAAACACAGGATCTTAATTCTTTAGACATTGAATATTCAAAAAGAAAAATAGGGAAACAAAACAGGTAGTGCACTAAATCACTATTTTATAAGGTTTTAAAGAATGTTGAAAAAATTCGGCGTGACTGGTTAGTTTATTCCAAAAGCACAGGCTCTTTATTTTGTTTATATTGTCGACCCTTTCAAGCGAAAATTGCACTTTTTCCTGTTTTACTGGATTTGACGACTGGAAAAAGGCTAAACAAAAATGTGATAGTCATTAAAGATCAGTCGTTCATTTAGAACATCTTAAAAATTTTATTTCAAGAAATTCATTGAGTACCTATGAGAAAGATCGATGATTCTCTGCGGCAACAAATTGAACGTGAGACCACATATTGGCGAAACATATTACAAAGAGTCGTTTGTGTCATAAAATTCTTAGCTAGTAGGGGACTACCTTTTAGAGGAACCGACGAAAAATTTGGTTCGACTAGCAATGGCAATTACCTTGGATTACTAGAGTTGTTGGCGAAATATGATCCTCTTTTAAAAGAACATATTGAAAAATTTGCTTCAAAAGGCTGTGGTTCAGTATCTTATTTATCAAAAACAATTTGTTTTGAATTTTTGCAATTGCTTTTGGACCACATCTTAGAAGAAATTGTAAAACAAATTCATTGTGGCAAATATTATTCAATCAGTGTTGACTCTACGTCTGATATAACACGTACAGATCAACTGACATTCAATATTAGGTATTGCTCGGACACCGGAACACCTGTCGAGAGGTTCATACAGTTTTTAAACAACACTGGCCACAAAGCCGAAGATATGGAAGCCAGCATTGTAAAAATTTTGTCCAACCTGAATATAAATATCGATGACTGCAGGGGACAATCGTATGACAATGCGAATAACATGTCTGGCGTTTATAGCGGTCTCCAAGCCCGAATAAAATCTAGGAATAGTTTGGCAAAATACGTACCATGTGCATTCCCTAAATTTGATTGTGCAGCATGCAGCAGAATGCACTATGGAAAGTACTTCTTTTTTTTTAGTTGCTGAAGAAATTTATGTTTTTTTTCTCAGCTTCAACTTACAGATGGTAACGACTCACTGATCTATTGAAAAATTGTGGCCATACAACATTTGTTTCAAAAAGAGTTAATGTGACTTGATGGTCAGGACGATTTAATGCACTAAAAGCTCTTAATTTATGCTATCAAGATACAAAGCAAGCACTTTTAGAGTTATCCGCTAACGATGACGAGAAGATGCCAGTACGCTGTCAAGCAAACAATTTACACGAAAAGATGGCTACGTTAGAATTTGGTATTTATGTTGCCTTTTGGTTCGAAGTACTGGAAAGAACTGACCTAGCGAGTAAATCTTTACAAAGCGTAAATATGGACTTACATACATGTTCGTTTTTGTATAGCTCATTACATTTTTACGAGTCTCTTCGTAATAAATATAATTTATTTGAACAAAAGGGGCAGCTCTTATCACAACAAATGGAATAGAGCAAAGAAATTAGAAGTCGCAAAAAAAAATTACAGTTTGACGAAGCAGATACAGAAGAGAACCTTACACCGCAAAATAAGAT